AGAGAGAGAGAGAGAGAGAGAGAGAGAGAGAGAGAGAGAGAGAGAGAAATAAAATAGACAATCTCATTGCCATCACCTCTGGAGAGAAGGTGCTGAAGCTAGGATGGAAGGACTCTAGACCAAGGGTGTTCTCTGGGAGCCATGAGTTTCAGAAGAGCCCAGTGAAGTGGGAGGCAGTGTGGAGGTAGGGAAGCAGAGAGACAGAGCAGAGGTGTGCCCATGGCAGGCTGCTGGCCCTTCCCCTGTGGAGAGTACTCACTGCTGTCTAGGGTCCAGAGAGCTGCTTGTGTTGCTCATAAATCCATGGGAGGAGCCTGGAGGTTCCTGGAGCCTGGGAACACAGGAGGAAGACTGGTCAGAGCCCCAGAAGGGAGCTAGCCTGGTTCGCAGAAAGCTCTCCAGGATGGGGGCTGAGCCTTGCCATTGGCTTTCCAAATAAGAAGGAACCTCTAGGCTTTCCTGGTGGAAGAGGAGAGAGGGCTGGCTTTCAGTCCCCAAACTGCCAGGTGGGAACAATAAAGCCTGGAACACGTGATTTGATCTCTCTAAGCTTCTAATTCCTTCTGTCAATCTTTGGCCTCAAATTTACTGTGTGTTGAGAATGACCTTGACTGTGTGACCTTTTGATCCCCCTCCCAAATGTGATGGCAGACACGGATCCCCATACCTGGTGTGTGAGGTTCGGGGGATCAAACCTCAGGCTTCATGCATGCTACACAAACACTTTCTTCACCAAACCCCATCCCCATGGGTTCGAACTCTATCTCTTGCCTCAGCCTCCCAAGTGCTAGGATTATAGGCACCTGTTACCACGACCAGCTGCGAAGACACTGAACTTCATGGGTTGTTGGGAGCCGACTCCTAGTGGAAAGTGGCTATCATCTTTGTAGCTATCTCGAGCCATATACCCTGACAAGAGACTTGTTTTTCAACAGCCTACAACAGCTGAGCACACGCTGATAAACATCTTATTTTTCTCACATATCTTGTTTTGCTGTTTAGTGCCCCCAGCTGCAAGGTACCCGTGGTAAAGTGTCTTCAGCTGCATCTCCTGCTTGTGCTTATATATACCCAGGATTTCCTTTCAATAAATGGGACTTGAACAGACTTTCTGTCTTGTCTCCATTCTTTGAGTTTCTTGCCCTTCTATCTCCACCCTCCCTCTTGCTAGACCCTGACCTGCAGGCTGGAGCAGCAGCTAGGGCTGGGACAAAGTGGCCCTCAAACGTGGTACAGAACGGGCTGTTACAATGGGTTGCTGTGATGTAAACACCTGTGAAGAGAGAGGCCTTGGCCCCGAAGGTCTCTGGGAAAATGAGCCATCTGGAGCCCACTTATGTATCTTCTAAGATAGATTTACCTCTAACGTCTAAGGTCCTCGTTTCCCATCTATGTACCTTTTGCTTCTGCAAATGATGCCAGGCATCCTTTCTTTGGTAGGGAGAGAGTGGAAGATTTCTCCTTGCTTTTGTAGTATTTCTCTGCCACCTCACCTGCTCCCCGATGAGTAACGCCAAAATATTATGCGGAAAAGCTAAGGTCTAAATGGGGAACCCATTCTTTCTCTGTGTCTTCCTCTCACCAGGAGGTCTGGGGGGGGGAAAGAATACTTAAAGCTGTCTTTCCTGCTGACTCTGGGGGTCTTCCTGCATCACACACCCAGCCCTAGAGAACCCAGAGGACAGGGAATAGCCCCTGTCTGCTCTGCACACATCACCAGATCTGCCGACAAGCACTAGTTGCTTTATGTTAAGCCAGTGATTTAACTTAACTGCCCCTGCGGTAGACTTTATGATCGCTGAGATTTAGTTGGAGGATTCAAGGCTTTGGAGAGGCAGGCAGGACTGTAGCTCGAGACTTCAGTCTGTAAGTTCCTGGAGCATCTGATGGCAGTCTATCAGACTGATAGACTATCTGATGAAGGTCTATCCTATTTCTGATTATTTTCTTGCTTTCTCTGAAACCAAAGACAGCTGCCTGGCCAGGACTTCGTCTTGACCCAAGGCAAGGTGTTTGTCACTTGCGTTCTAGGAAAGCCAGAGCTCTTCTTAAGTGACTCATGTACTAGAGGTAGTGCCACCTGACCTTGCTACTGAAATTCAACGAGGAAGAACTTCAAATAGCCATCCAGGGTCTCTCGGAGCCATCCAGGGTCATCAGGTCCTACCTGGGCTTAAACCTCCTAGGGACTAGGGACTCCATTGTTCTCACACAGGTTAACTGCCATATGGTTGGAGGCAGTGATATGTGTTTTTATCTTCATGGTCAAGTTTTACCTTCTCAAGGTTCCTAGAAGGTGGAGCTAATTCCCTCTATCAGTTTTCTTTTTCTTTCTTTCTTTCTTTTTTTTTTTTTTTGTTCTTTGTTTTTTCGAGACAGGGTTTCTCTGTATAGCCTTGGCTGTCCTGGAACTCACTCTGTAGACCAGGCTGGCCTCGAACTCAGAAATCCACCCACCTCTGCCTCCCAAGTGCTGGGATTAAAGGCGTGCGCCACCACTGCCCGGCTCCCCTATCAGTTTTCATTGAGGCAACTAGAGTTCAGACACAGGAATACCCAGTCAGCAAAGATGAGCAAAGGACTGTGGCTTAGCAGCAGAGTGTGGGCCTGGTGCTGATGCTGAGTGGTAGAGTAATGAGTTCAATCCCCAGCAGCCCCTCCTACACTTGAATAAAAACAAAAAATAAGTCCAGGGAATTATTATTATTTTAATAAAGTGCTTGCTAAGCAAGCCTGAGGACCTAAATTCCTATCCCCAGAACCCCCATAAAAGCCAGTATAGTGACATGTTCTGAACCACAACAATGGGGGGTAGACACAGACAGGTCCCTGGGGTTTGCTGGCCAACCACTCTAGCCAACAACGAAGCTCCCAGTTTCGGGGGAAAAATATGACCCTGGTTTGATTCTCCTGCCCCCATAAACCAAGCAAGGTGGCAAATACCTTTACTCCCAGCCCTTTTCAACTCTTTTTAAAAATTAATTAATTAATTAATTAATTAATTTATATGAGTACACTGTAGCTATCTTCAGACACACCAGAAGAGGGCATCAGTTCGAATTACAGATGGTTCTGAGCCACCATGTGGTTGCTGGGAATTGAACTCAGGACCTCTAGGAAGAACAGCCAGTGCTCCTAACCGCTGAGCCATCCCTCCAGCCCCCCTTACCAGCTCTTAACTGATGCAAACAAAGAGTAGAACTGAGGTCACCCTCTCCTACACAAAGAGTTGGAGGCCAGCCTGGTAGGCATTAGACCCTGTATCAAGCAAGCAAACAAATAACATTGGGCCATCTGTCTGCTCAGAGGTAGTGTTGAGCTGGGGGACAACCAGCTAGAGTCTGTACTGGCCTTTTGCCATTTTACACATATATACTTATTTTTTATCCTTAAATGCCCATTATAACATGTGGTTAAATCAGTAATTAAAATGTACAAGATAGGATTTTAAAAGGCGGTTGATAACTACAACACACAGTGTGCTTAGGAGGGTGTTTCCTTTTAATACGTTTCTTACCTTTGATAGTAAAACGAATAAAAGTTGCACCTGTTAACTCATGCTAGTAATCTCATGCACTTGAGAAGATGAGACAGGAGGATTAATTGTTTGAGGCCATCTGGGCAACACAAGACCTGGTCTCAATAAAGCAAACAAAAACCCAAATAAAAGCTATAATAAAACAGTTTTCTTTGGGATTAGAGCCCCTTAGCTGTTAAAGTTACAAGAAAGAGTGCTAGAGATAAAATAGAAGGAATACGGGAAGAAGAAAGAAAAGAGAGAACTCGGAAAACCAGAGCCTCAGGGCAGAGGGTCTAATGCAGAAGGGCCCGACTGTGGAGTCTAGCTACGGACATTAGGACACGCCTAATGGGGTTTGGTGTGAGAGAGAAG